TTGCTGAAACACAAGAAAGAAATTGCATCTTATTACAGCTGAGCTTTACAGACTTGTATCACATGCTATTATTAATAAAGAAACATGATGCTACACATAGGTGTTGATTTCCTAAAAGAATGTTTCACTGTAGTCAGAGGAAGAGTGGTACTCACTAGGCTTCATGTTTTTTTCTCTGCACTTCTCTCTGCTGTTTTTATCCTCTGTTGTGATCAGCTTCGAGCTGGACTGGTACTTGTTTACTTCCTGAATGTTTCCTCAGAAACGAAACTGTGGTACAATCTAAACACAGGGGGCGACAGAGAGTCACATCCTCTCTACTGGACTGCTGAGGAAATGAAACTGATGAATCCAACTGGAAAGAAAAGTATGGAGAATGAGTGTGCAGTTTTATTATTTTCATTTCAAAACAAACGATGGCACAAGGCATGGCTGAGCAAATGTTTCTTAAACAAAGGAAGGAGGTTCTTCATAAAAGCACCAGTGTACAATGAACTTTTAGCTTGTCTGATGGTAATGAAAGAACTAACTTTAACATAGATGGGCTGTATTGATGATACTTTGCTCTATAAATCATAATGCTTACATTTTTACATTCTAACAAATGTTAATCTCCCAGATGATCAAACAAACAAGCCGAGGGATGAAAAGAAAACCTCCTTGTCTCTGTGTAAGACTTTTATGACCTGAACATTTTGTGACCTGAAACCTTTATGACTTGCTAATACCTTTATGACCTTTCTATTGCTTTCTGACTGTCCAAGGGATTATGCTCTATCTTTAAAGGAAACTTATATATATAATTATGTTTCCTTGTCTTAATTCCTGTCTGAAACTGCACCAGAACCAATCTGAACTGGCTCAGTTAAACAGCCTTTGTTCTCCTGTATAAGATGCTTGCATTTGACTGTTCTCCATCAGCACTCTGAGATCCCTGTGACTCTCTGTGTTGATCCTTTCTGCAGAAAGCTCCTAATAAATACAGTAATTTGGTAATCCAGCTTCTTGTATTTTCAGATTTCCATCACATGCACAAGTGCTTAAAGACATTATAACAGTACATATTCATGTTTATGAGTCATAACAGGTTTATGATACACTTGTAGATAAATAGATGCTTTAACTAAAAAGGAACCAGTTAACTCTTTCAAATGTGTTTAACCAGGTGGCTTTTATTTTCTGAGTTGTAAGAGTCAAACATCATGTCAGGAAAATGCAAACAAGACAACTTCCCAAACATTTCAGAACATAAACATGTTGCTTCATCACATGTTTCATTAGATTAACAGGATAACCAGTTATTGATTATTCAGAAAAAGAGGCTTGCCACCCAACACGAGCTTCTTAATCACTGTCAGCTTCACTTGCGTTTCGACTTCCCAGACGCACCTACAATGACATTACACACATTGCATGATCAGTAAATTTTAAAGATAAAAAATGAAACAATACAAACGTTGTGCATTAGATTAAGCCTGTAAATTATAGTACAGATGTTAAGTGAATTAAAAAATGTGAAAACAGAGCAAGAATAAACACTTTAGATGTAAAACTATCCAACCAAGGACCCAGTTCAGACCAAAATGAACCATCTACTGTTACCTTTTGATTGAAAAGCAGAAACCATACTTCCTGCTGACACTCCACCTCCGCTAGCCACTGCAGAAGCTGACATCATTTTAGAAGCCACAGAGCCTCCTGCAATTCCACCTGAAGTGAAACCTGCAGTCCCCAGAAAACGTGGGGCCTTATCCTTCGTCACTGTTGAACACAGCAGAAAGGGAGCCTTCATTATTATTGTAATTATGATTATAATGGTTGTTATTGTTATTGTATGTCTGTTAATGTCTTACCTGCTCCAACTGCTGCACTTGTAGCTGAAAGACAAGAAATTGCATCTTATTACAGCTGAGCTTTACAGACTTGTATCACATGCTATTATTAATAAAGAAACATGATGCTACATATAGGTGTTGATTTTCTAAAAGAATGTTTCACTATAGTCAGAGGAAGAGTGATACTCACAACGGTCCATGTTTTTTCTCTTCTCTTCTCTCTGCTGTGTTTATCCTCTGTTGTGATCAGCCTCGAGCTGGACTGGTATTTATTCCCTTCATGAAGGTTTCCTCAGAAACGAAACTATGGTACGATCCAATAAATGGGCGAAACAGAGAGTCACATCCTCTCTACTGGACTGCTGAAGAAATGAAACTGATGAAATCCAAATGGAAAGAAAAGTATGGAGAATGAATGTGCAGTTTTATTATTTTCATTTCAAAACAAACGATGGCACAAGGCATGGCTGAGCAAATGTTTCTTAAACAAAAGAAGGAGGTTCTTCATAAAAGCACCAGTGTACAATGAACTTTTAGCTTGTCTGATGGTAATGAAAGAACTAACTTAAACATAGATGGGCTGTATCGATGATACTTTGCTCTATAAATCATAATGCTTACATTTTTACATTCTAACAGATGTTAAACTCTTAGACGATCAAACAAACAAGCCGAGGGGTGAAAAGAAAACCTCCTTGGCAGAGGTAAAAAGTATCCTTACAATCAAACAGAACTGATGGATAAAATCTGCACATTCTCAACTGTAATAACTGTGGAAACTGAGAGCAGTATATACATGTCCACTGGCAGCGCAATGAGTAGAAGAGTAACCTGTTGGGAATGTTACAGATGTAACATGTTACAGAGACACAGGGACATTAACGACAGAGCAGCACACGACCTCTAGGTGTCGCTCTGTTTCCGGACACGATCACGTGGGTCCGTCTCGCGCACGCGCACACGGAAGGTGTGGGGGTCAGCTGGTGATGCAGACAAGATGCCCACTGCCACCATCGGCCCTGTGTAGCAGCGGAGAGCCGCAGACTCCCCCTGTCGTCCCCCCAGCTCAGCTGCAGGTTGTAGTCCGACACACGGAGCTCCATGTCTGTGGCGAATGCGAAACACACGGTCCTGAAACCGGTAAGAGGCTTATTATCTTCATCATCTTCATCTTCATCAGCAGCTCTGATACCATCACGCGACCATCAACAGATAGCTCACAGTGCAGATACACACTGTGTTCAAGTTGCAGTGATGACAGCAAGTGTGCAGAGACGAGCTGCACGGGTCTGTGTTCACCGTGCACGGGTCCGTGTTCACCGTGCACGGGTCTGTTCACCGTGCACGGGTCTGTGTTCACCGTGCACGGGTCTTCACCGCTCTCTGCTCTCCACCTCAGGTGATCCCATACACAGGGCCCGTACCCGGAGGCCTGCAGCCTGGGGAGATCATCATCATCCAGGGCACCGTGCCCCCAGATGCTGACCGGTGAGTGTGACTCAAACCAGAGGATGAACTGCAGAGATATGGACATGTGTCGTATGGGTAAAGCCACAGTATTTCATATTTGAATCAGGAACAACATTATCTTGTTTACTTTATTAGTTTCTAAACTTTTAAACCTTAACTTCATTCTCTGTTCCATACTCCTGGAAACCTCCTCAGCTTGAATCAATGACACCATGGATATCTGATAGAGAGAGTCTAATGTATAGGCATGTTCTCAATGTGAAAATATGATTATTTATTAGGGATGGGCAAAAATTATAACAATATAAAAAAATCTCATATCAGTTGATTAAAATTATCATAATAAATGTCTAAGTTTTCTTTCTTTCTTTCTCCTCAGTGAAAGTTGTGGTTTTAAACAAACAGAGAAAAATGTTGGCATTGCATAGTGTCACTGAACACTCAACACACGGAACTGATATTCATTTGCAATAAACATCATAGAAACATACACAGAAAAACTGTGGTATTCCCTTTTGTCCAAATGGTAGAAATACTACACCCAGAATGCAGCGGGCTCTCTCAGGCCCCTCCCATTGGTTAATCTTGAGCTAAACTTCAGGAAATTTACAAAAAAAGCTATTTTGTGAAAAAGCTACTGATAACTATCAATTCGCTATCGTGGAAAAATGAGTGATTGTCAGCTGATTAATATTTTTGCACAGCTCTAGTCTTTGGAAACATCTGGTTTATTTCTGAGGACACAGCGGAGCATCCTCTGACAACATGTGTTATAGGAAAAATTCCATTGTCATTAAGTTACAAAATTATCAGCTTCCTCTGTCAAACACATGGCTATAAATAATTCATTACGATTCTCTTCAAGATGAGCCTGGATTCATTTTAGCCCAGCTTTGACTCAGTGGAACTTTTAAGCTCCTGAAACCCTGATTTTGCTCCATCCAACTCGAATAATAAAAGTCCTCATACTACTTTGTGGTGATAGGACGAAACTCTAACACACAGTAAACCTGAGAATTTTTAGCGCCCGGCCTTTAATCCAGCTTTGGTGTGGGTCATGTTTGCAGGTTTCAGATCGACCTGTCGAGCGGCTGCAGCACCAAGCCGCCCTCTGACGTGGCCTTCCACCTTAGCCCGTGCTTCACAGGCCCGCCTCGGGTGGTATGCAACTCCCTGCTGCAGGAGACCTGGGGCAAGGAGGAGACGCTCCATCAGCTGCCCTACAAACGCGGAGCCCCCTTCGAGACCATCATCCTGGTGCATGACGACGTCTTTAAGGTCAGTGATCCTACGATGCTACCTACAAACAACACAAGCACATAGGGAGTCAATTAATGGAAAACAAAATGGTTCTAGAGTGTTCGTCTTCACCCATAGGTGGCAGTAAATGGTACTCACCTGCTGAGCTACAAGCACAGAATCCCACTGAACAGGGTCGACACATTTTCTATTTCGGGGAAAGTCAGGGTGCACGCTATTGGCTACATCCCAAACTCTGTGAGTTCATTTCCGTCCCCTTGTTTTCATTTTTTTCTCACAAGCTGGTGGGATGTGTCCTTCTTTTATAGAAACGTCTGTTTATTCATTTCTAAATGTGTCTTTTCTCCTTCAGGCAATATATTCAGAATCAGGTGACTTGGTGAGTTTTTCCTTTTTGCGTCATCTCCATCTTGTGATGCTGCTAAAAGTGGCACATTGTAAATGATCCCTTTGTCTGTTCTCTGTAGACTGTTCATGTCGGCATGCAGACCTTTTAAAGGACAGCTCTGGTTTTTCACCAGCTCTGTCACATTTTAGTAATGACACTGTTGTAGTGTCTAAGATCTGGGAACATGGTTACAGCCAAATCTATTTGGGCAACAAACCTTCAGGAAGTTGTAAATAAAGTTTTACGGACGATTCTGTCAAAGCATACAGTCATGTAAAGTACATTCATACATAGAAATGTGGTTTTATCTTGTCCACTTCTTTCTTCAGCTGAGTCCAACCAGACCACGGCTGCAAATGAACAGTTACATTACTTCTTACTATGTATCAATGTTAGTCCATATTACTCTTGTCAGTTAAACACAATACAATCAAATAACAAAGACAAAAGATATTGAAATCAAGATTGAACTATAGTGGCACTCAGAGTGCACATACCTCTGCCACAGTCCCCTTATTTGAACCTAGACTAAATGTCTTTGAAATAACAATCCATTCCCTGATCCAGATCTGGACCAAAATTTAATAGGTTCTTCCCGGACTATTAATGGTGTGACCATATCCTTCTTCCAGGTTTTGTGGTACTCCTTCATGTAGTTTTTACAAAATGTTGCTTAAAATACTAACAAACAAGAAAACCAACTACACACTGAGGTTAAAATATTACCTCCTTAGCTGAGGTGAAGTGTTTAAAATTCAGATTTTTAAAAAGGGCTCAGAGTTGATGAATGAATTAGAGGATTGACAGGAAGATAACTGAGCAGCCATTTTACTAATTCATTGTTCAAATCATATTTTCCGAAGCGACATTTGTTGGTTCCAGCTTCTTAAATGTGATGATTTGTGGCTTTGCTTTGTGATGCATGATTTGATAATCTTCGCATCTTGGATTATTGCCCGAACAAATAAAACTTTGGATTGTGGGAAATAGATCAGTCCTAATAGAGCAAATGATTAATGGATAAAATATTTGTATTAAAATGTTTATCAGCAGTTTTGTTGTTATTTCAGAGCCTCCCTTACAAAGGCAGCATACTGAAAGGACTGAGCCCAGGGCAGCACATCACAATCAAAGGACAGGTCAGCATGTATCCTCACAGGTAAAGGAACACAAACATGTTTACATCAAGTACATCACTGATTGTTTTGGTCTGTTAATGTACTGTTTTACACGTCTCTGATAATCACTGGCCCTCAGACATTTCCTTTATGAACATTATTTACCTCTTATCCACGTTTCCACCAGTTTCACAGTGAACCTCTGCAACAGCAGGACGGAGAACATCGCCCTCCACCTGAACCCTCGCATGAAGTCGGGTGTGTTCATCAGGAACTCGTACCTGAGTGAGACGTGGGGTCAGGAGGAGCGGGAGCTGCCCTTCTTTCCCTTCTCATCGGGGGAGTACTTCGAGGTAGGAACCACCGAACATCTTCACTCTACTTTGAAAAGGTTGTGCCGGATGTGGATATCACTTTAGGTAAATGATGTCACATCCTCACACAACGATGGGATTACCTTTAACGTCGTGAGATTCAATGTTGTTCTACATTTCCTTTGCTTTCTCAAGATAATTTATGGATCTTGATGAAAAGATTCAGGCATGTTTAGGGGACTGATATTAATGAGTGAGCAATTTGCCACTTAAGTTGTGTTTAGATTTATGAGCATTCTTCATTATTAGTACTTGTTTGTTTTTTCAGATTCTCATCCTCTGTCAGCCCCATCAGTTCAAGCTGGCAGTGAACGGCTCGCACTTGTTCGAGTTCAGACATCGGGTGCAGGACCTGAGCAGCATCGACCAGCTGGAGATCATGGGAGACCTGGAGCTCACTGATGTTAAACTGTGGTGACTCGGGAGCCCACGCCAACACAGAAACCAGCGTTACAGACACGTCGAGTCCTGGTGATCGACGCTAAATTAGCTTAGCCACAATGACCCAGACGGTGGATGCTAAAAACATCAAAAACCCTGAGCTGACTTCTGGTTCGACTTTCAAAGAAAAAAGTGAAGAAGAAAAAAAAGAGGTATTAAACTAATCCAGTCATTATCAGGTCCAACCATCGACAACATGATCCATCTTTCCAGCTGGGAAAAGAAGACTGATGCATGAGCGTTGGCCGTGCCGGAGTATCAGGGCTGTGAGCCACCATGACCGTTTACAGAGTTAGGGTTGCCTTGGTTCATATCTTCCACTGTCTCTAGTTTCTCTCTGCTGTGATACGCCATTAGTGCACTGTATAATTAAAACAGCAAATATTTCAATGTAAATATTATGACGTAGGATGGAGCATTCGGAGGATATAGAATTATTTGTGAGATTTCGAGAATAATGCTATATTACGGAAATAAAGTTTAATGAGAGATTTAATGAGAAAAAAGTCATAATAGTACGAGCATGTAGAAAATTGATTAAGGAAATCAGCAGCAAGGAGGACCCGTGGTCTTCAGAGTTCCACTCCCTCTGGATGCAAAATCTTGAAAAAGAAAATAAGAAACATCAATGGTGAAGTATTTTGTTATGTGTTAAACCGACACTAAAATAGACTTGACAAGATGTTCCACATTCATCATTTGTACACAGGCGACTGGTTGATCATCTGATATTCCCTCTCTATGATGACACGCAACCTTATTTTAAGACTTTATTCTCATAACAATACTGTATTCTCAAAATCTCAAAAGATTTTTGTTCCACTGTAAGTGAACATAAATACAACTCTGGTGTAAATAAGCACTTAAATCCTGGCTTTGTTTAAATGTCATGAAAGTCTGCAATATAAAACAATGAATGAAACTGTTGGGCCCATTTTTTCTTTTGGAGCAAAGCTCAATAAATCCAATTTATTGTACAGCTAAGTTAAAGAAATCATTTTTTAATAAAATGTTTTATGTGATTACTATTTTCTTTGGTGAGAAAAATGTATTGTCCTGTCATTATCATTTTCACCTGCAATCTTTTGCCCAGTTCTTGATTTACCTTTCTTCCCCTTTTTTAAAAAATAATATTTTTTTTAACCTCATTCTTTAACACAACTCCGCGTGTGCTTGACATTGAAATCAATTCATGTCTTAGTGCAGCAGGACTCAAGCACAGTGCAATACAGGGTCAATTAAAACTCTTTATAATAACCTAACAAATGCTGTTTTGCGACCTTTACGTAAGTTTTAAAAAGCAATCCTGCATCTATGTCCATCACTTGTGCCACTATTCTACTACTCCTGCTCCAAAATAAAAAAAAGTCCTGGGTTCAGAAAAAGAATAAAAATCTGATATTTCTTTTCCAGTGTTGTTGGGATTTTTTTCTTTTCGATTGTTGCAATTATTGTAAAAATGTATGAAATATCTTCCCTATATCATAAATGATTTAATAAATCAATGTGTTACTGTTTGACGTCTACGTGGTTTTTGTGATGGATTGTTCACATTGAGAATTTACCTGCAGTTCTCATGCTCAGCCACAAGGTGGTGGAAGAGTATTATGCAGGGCGGCTGTGGCTGAGGGGTAGAGTCCTCCAACCAGAAGGCAGTTCGATCCCCAGTCTTCCCCATCTGAATGCCGAAGTGTCCTTGGGCAAGATGCTGAACCCCAACAAAAAAAAGTGCTGCTAATAGATGCACTGTGTGAGTGGAAAACTACTGTGACGCACTTTGAGTGGTCATCAAGACTAGAAATGCACTATATAAATACAAATATTAAATGTTTACAGACCGCCTTGCACTACCAAGAATTCTTCCCCAACCACCTCCTATCAGTGAACACCAGACTTTCTTTTTGGGGGGGGGTAAAGGAGTTCTGCCCCCACACTTGAGTCTTCATTTTAGTTTTAACATCTCTGTCCACAAGTTTGTGCCTGAGGCAGCTTAACCTTCTGTGAGCATCCATAGATGTCTGGAAACATTCAGACAGGCTTGTTTTTAAATGCGTCTATTTTACGACAATGACCACAGGCATCGGTCACAAGATGAACTTTAAAGGAAATACCATCACCACATGACTCACATTAGCACTTACTGCACTGTGCCTCCTAAACCTCGATATTAATCAAATGTTTTCTGATAAAAAGTTTGTGTTTTATTAATATCCACAGGAAATATAATTTGTAGAGGAGCTGTAATAACCATGGTAAAGTACAACAGTCTCTTATTCTTTTTTTTTTTTAAACATGGATAAAAAGCAGGGTGATATGCAACATGACATCAACCATTGCACTGCTGAGAATGTCCAAGAAAAAAAGGCAGAAGACAAAAGTCTGATCAGCAACAGGCAAATAGGCTAAAGTTTGTTTTACAAAAAAAGGAATCTGTCAGACGTGTAATCCACTGACAGAAATTCAGCTCTGACCAAAAAACTGTTATTTACTGTCAAAACATCTTGTTTTAGCTTGACATCGCTCACAGACATTCGCCACGAAACTCCCCTGTCCAGTCTCCAGGAAGATGGAGGATGTGATCCCTTGAACTTTAAAAGGTACACATAAAAAGAGAGAGATGTGTATGTGTGAGTTGTCATACACTCCACCACACATGGAACCATGTCCCAGTCCCAGCAGAGAGGTTTGGCAAGACAATGGCTGAGGACAACTGGTTTCACTTAGTCACATACCGCAGTTTCTAGCAGCTGAATTTAAACCACAGCCTGTTTTTTCTCCGGATCTCATGTCCTGCTGAGAAGATGGGGAGGGGAGATGTGGTTCAAAAGTGGCACAGTTTCAGGGGTTGGATGAATGTTTTTAAGAGAGGTGGTGGAGGGGGTATATTCCAGTGTCAGACGGAGCTGAGCTTTACCAGTCCTCTGACAGAGTCCTCGTGTAGCGAGTCCTGGCTGGCTGGGTTGTAGAAGCCGGCCTGCATGGTGTGGCTGTGGCCAAGGGGGCTGCCGCAGGGCAGCATACCTGGGGGTGAGGGCATTTCTTCTGGAGTGAGATAGTGGTGGTGTCCCACAGGCTCCTGAAGGGGGTGGCTGTGGTTGTGTGTGTGGCTGTGTCCGTGGATTGGTAACATGTCTGTTGCCTCGTGGCAGCTGAGGCTGGGGGTCGACGTCGGAGGCGTGGGCTGCCCGAGGGGGAGTGAGGTGCACGGGCCGGCCAGGGTGAGGGAGGTGCGGCCCGGTAGAGAGACTCCGTTTTCTGGAGAAGCCGTCAGGATGACTGGTTCGCTGCTCTGCTGCTGGAGGAGAGGGGTGGTGGCGGCCTGCAAAACGAATTTGGTGCTCTGAATGCACTGGTCTTGGTCACACTGCGAGGAAGCAGAAGGAAGCAGGAGACAGAACAACACAGGAGGGGATGTGACAGCCAGAGATAGATAAGGTGCAGGAGGTGAGGGATGGAAATAAAAAAATAAAGAGCGAGACGGTGTGGAAAATTAGATTGAGGAGGAAACAAGGGATCGAGGAAAACAAAAGATGTGAGAAGACAACAGAGAAGGGGGCCGGTGATGGGATAAGGGAGAGAAAAGCAAGAGAAAAAGCTGTTAGTACCCTGGTTAGAATCAGAGCCACACAGAGAACCTGCACCAGCTTGTGCATCCATCCCAGTAAACCAGAGTCAATAGATACAGTTGAACATTCAGGGCTAGTCAGTCACTGCTACATGACCTATTGATCTCTGCTGCTTCGCTTTCGAGTGGAAAGCACACGTCTAAAAGTGGAGCAGAGTAACTGGGTTAGGACACAAAGAGTCGTCAATACCACACATTAGCTACAGGGAGATTAGCTTTAACCTCATTAGCCCTTTACCACCTCAATCATGTGTGTCAGAGAGCAGTCACAGATGAAACAGCACGAGTGGTGCAGAGGTGACAGGAATATGTAAAAAAAAAAAATAGGAGAAGAAACAGGACAAGGACGTTAAAGCCTCCCAGCATCCCGTTCACACAGTCCGACTGACGACATATTGGAAGTATAAAGATTTGTCTTTCTTAATCTCATTGACCTAAAAAGAACAGATTACAGATGTGATTGGAACAGAAGTGCAGCTACCTTTGACAGTGGTAGAGACGTGGTTCCAGGTGTTATCTATTCCCCTATCGGCCGCACGCCTAAGCTGCTCTCCACTAATCACCCATACAAGCCAGGCTCCTCTCCAGGTTGTTAAAGACTCACTTGACTCAAGGTTATGGGACTGAAATGACACTGAAACCTCAGCCGCGCTAACAAACAGCCACCTCATCAGCACTGTGATGGGTGTAAAAATGTATGTTTCTTTTTTTCAACAATATGGTTCATTCCTACGTAAGAAAACTGCCTGAGAACTGTCCGTCCCCTGCAGCACACACACAAAGCCTCAAGGTACAGGATGTACATTGACTGCTGATAAACCACGGATGACACAGGCCTTGTTGTGTTTGGCTTTCACACGTTACAGTGATGACACAACAAGGATAAAAGATTTTTTTTCTGTAATAGAAATGTTATCCTATATTTACACTTTGTTCTTGGCCCTTACAATGAAGAGGACATAGCAATAACCTGCATCATCCCTCTCTAACTGATAAAAAGTCAAATATATATGAAAAGGCAGTGAGCCCTTCAAAGACAACAAACCATATGTCTACAGAGAGAGAAATAAAATCATCAAAAAAAAACCTTCTTTAACAAAGGGAGCTCAGAGAGCGTACCTCCACAACACTCCACTTATGAAACCACATTTAAATTTACTAGATACGGATTTTGTTTTTGGACACACATTCCTAAGTATCAGTTCCTTAAACAAGCCAAAGTTTTGGGAAATGAAAAATAACCTATTCCAACCCAGTTTGGACCTAAGAGGAGGCGCTCCCGATGTAAATATAAAGTATTTAAATATAAAGGGCCCATTCTAGGATAAAGCAAACAACAATTTATACAATTTAGATGAGTGAAAACATCACTAGGATTATTTTATATTCAATTACTACCAATAGATCCCTTTCACCTAAATCTTACACACTGGACCTTTAAAGAAAGAGAAACAACAAACAACGCCCTCTGATCCATATCTGCATATCCAGATTTCTTCTTTGGGTCGTGCCCCAACTCTCTACATGCATAATCCTGCTAATTAACAAACAAACAAACACAATCAACAAAATTAAACATCACTCACCGAGTGAGCAAGTAAAAAAGTGAACATCCCATTTTCTCAGATAGATTTTCATTACGTGAGGATCTTTATATTTGAGGAGTCTCAGTTGGACAAAAGAAGCAGTTTGTTGACATCACTCATGGGCTCTGAGAAATTGCAATTTTGCCATTTTCTATTCTTTTCTAACATGTCACACACCAATTAGTTAATAGACAGTGAAATTAATAATTAGTTGCAGTCCGACCATCCATTCATTTTGTGCAATCCATGTCAAAATTGTCCACTAAATGTAGATTTGAAGCATTTTCCTAAGCTTCAGTTCCAAAGGCCAGTCACAATTAGTTCAATTCAACAATGAAGAGGATGAATGTGATCTTGTGCAAATAAAATGAAAGACACCATTTATGTTCCATCTTTAAACAAGTGTCGAGACGAGGTGGATGAATCCAGCTTCAAGTTGGAGAGATAAGAGCTGTCTGTTATTCCTGACAACATTACCGATGTCTCCTGTGAGCAGGTGACTGATGCTTTCAACGTTGCTGAGGTTGTACATTTGCTTTTACTGATCAGAAGAAAAAAAACAGGCGACGACGATCACTTCATCATTTATAAACCGGCTAAACAAAGTGTAAATATTGATTGTATCCAGCTCCGAAGGAAGCAGAGAAACTTCCTGACTACTCAGTGAACCAAGAGTGAAACTGACAACAGGGCTGTGGGGTGTCAGTCCTCATCACTCACTGTGCAGTTATCAGCCAGGAAATGGTGGTTGATCAAGTTGCTGTGCCTGTGTGTGCGTGTTTGTGTGTCTTGTATAAAAATAGCTTGAATACAAAGGAAGAGGATGTAGAAAGAGGAGGAAAAGGAAGGAAGAAACCAACCACAGAAATAGATAAAAGGCCAAATGTAAATCATGTGCGTTAACGGACAAACATTCAGCATCTTTAACATATAATATATAACACAACATTGGTAAAAGAAAACTGGGATAAATTACTCTTTAATGTTCCCAGAGCCCAAGGTGTTTTTCCCCCCAAATTGCATGTTTTGTCCAAACTTCAGTCCTAAACCCAAATATTCAATTTTCAGTGACTATAAAGGAGAAAAGCAGCAGACTCATGACAGGTCGGGACCTGGGAGCAGACAGTGTTTGGTATTTTTGCTTGAT